GATTGCTGGTTCGCAATCTCCTGGGTTTGCTTTTTCATTGCCATTCAGCAGGCTGGAGAAGTTCTCCCTCCATAAACCAAGTATGCTTTGGACATTGGGCACTAGATTTCGGTTTTGAAACCATATAAGAGTCGCCCCAACGCACGGTGAGTGTCTACTCGTTATTCCTAACGTTACTATGAAGCCTCTGAGTCGCTGCTAGGAGATCTTCTAGTTATCAAGAGGTATAGTAGCTGCTCGACCATCACCCTGTGAATACATATGTATGTACAAGTAAATACGTGCATGCATAATGAAAATAGAAATGCAGTCAACTTCTCACAATATTTTTGTCCCAAAAGACTGACTGACTATTTGGCGTCAATTTTAGTATGGATCCCACAAAGGAATATCTGCCCAATATTTTACTTTATTATTTTCTCAAAGGAAAAAATGACGCACAGCTTGCGAAAAAGTTGCATAATTTGTTTGATGATAGGGGCTTTGAAGGAACCCGGTGTCGAAGTTTGTTTGTCGAATTCCGTGCGGGATATTTTTCACTAAAAGATTAGCCGCATTCAGGTCGGCGGCCAAGTGAAGTTGATGATGACGATATCCAGGTTTTAATCGAATCGGATTGTCATGTAACTGAGCGTGAGAATGGAGAGAGGTAAATTATACCAAAATCAATCGTTCGTAATCATATACGACGTATTGGACTGGTAAAAAAAAACTTGAATTGAAAGAAATTCATTCAGCAAGCCGCTTCAAGGTTTGTGATATGCATCTCAAACGCAAGGAATGTGATCCGTTTTTGAAGAAAATCATAACTGATGATGAAGAATGGATTGCTTACAGTAACGTCAATCGAAAACGAGCATGGTCCAAGCATGATTAAGTGCCACAAACCACTTCAAAGGTTGATACTCACCAAAGGCAGATTATGCTTTTAGTTTGGTGAGAATGAAAGGGTGTGGTATATTTTGAGCTCCTTCCAAGGTACCAAGCGATTAATTCGGATGTCTATCGTGAAAAACTGGAAAAATTGTATACATCCATCAACCAGAAGCGGTCAGAATTGGTCAATCCTACAGGTGTCATATTCCACCAGGACAATGCTTGACTGCACACATCTTTGCTCACGCGCCAAAAACTGAGAGAGCTTTGCTGCAATCTGTTGATGGATCCACCATATAGCCCTGACCTTGCACCATCAGATTACCATTGGTTTCGATCTTTGCAGAACTCACTAAAAGGTAAAAGTTTTGCTGGAAAGATGGCAGCTCAATATAAATAACAATATATACCCGTATAGATGTATATATATATATATTATAAATATATATATATATTATAAATATACTTATAAAATTTTATATTGACTTCACGAATTCTCATTTAAATAAATTTATAGATACATATGTGTGCATGCATGTATTTAGAGATAGATGCATATAGTTGTATGTACATATGTATGATGCAACAAAGCAATAATTATAAATTGCAACATTAAACTAATTTTTGCTCATTAAATATTCTTTCATTTCAGATTTTATGACTCAACCGAATTTTGAAGTAAGTAAACCAGAGCTAATTTTGACTGGAACCGATAGTTTAGATACTTGGCATTGAATTCAGTGACCCGAAAGAGATTCTCTTTGTCTGTCTTTTTGTTTTCGGCGTGACGCCCATAAAGAGGAAGTTCTTAGGAAATTAACTGGTACCGGTACTGGTTAATTCATACACCCTCATACATACATATATACATACATACATACACTAAGAGTCACTCTTCACGGGGAAATGCCAATAGGGTATTTTCTTACTCAGTTTGCAAGTTATTTAAAAAGCCTTATGACCCTGTATCTACTACTGTGGGCAAAAAATACCGTGACTTTATTTATACAATAAAGAAAAAAAAATAATCATTTATTCTTTCAAAGCAATTTTATTCCCTCAATCACTTTACCTTAACGATATAATGCACCTATGCAAACGTGTCCTCTATTCCTTGGTGCATTCCAAAAAGTCGCTTTTAGTTATTACCCTCAGAGGGCGTGCCGATTTACCTTGGAACTCATCAATAGATTCGAAGCAGAGTACCCGGAGTCGTTTTTTGAGTCTGAATAGTAGCCAGAAGTCGCAAGGAGCTAAATCAGGTGCATAAGCTAGTAGTTGTCGCGTGATATGGATCGAGTTCTTGATGAAATTGGCACGTGGCTGCGATTTCACTTTTCTGTGGCCCATATTGATATTCAAAATGGTTTCCACTGATCCTACCCACATTTCAACAAATTCGGTAAGATCGTGGACTAGTCGATTTTGCAGCACCATTTCTTTGATTTTGTTAACGTATTACTCGTAATTTGATGTTGATGGTCGTCGTGGCCGCGTGTCTCGAATAAAAACTTTTCCGGCACTCTTTAACCATTTGCTACCTCTCATAAATTCTAGTTTTCGTTAGAGATTGCTCATCGAAGGCGAGTGAGAAAGAAGGAGAGTTAGCATTGCATACTGCCATTCGGCAGGCCCGGATTGATATCCTGGTGCAAAAAATTAAGTTTAATTTTCTAATTGCTGTCGCTCCTCGGCAGGGAATGTTAACCTCTCCGAGTGTATTTCTGACATGAAATAGAGGACTCATCGTAAGAAACCATCAGCCGTTCGGAGGCATCTTAGTATAAACTCGAAAACTTATCGGCGCAGACAAGCAACTTCGCATAACCCCACAAAAAATATTCCTATCATGTTAAGTTGCATAATTTTAGAGGCCACGCCATAGCCTCACGACACGAGATAATATGCTCACCAAAAGTTTCCTTCGAAAGATTCCTTCAATAAATTGATTGTTTCGTTCGCTATATGACATACAGCGTGGTCTTGTTGGAACCAAAGGTCGTCCTCATCCACATCCTCCAATTCAGGCACGAGAAAGTCACTATTCTTGGTTCTATAGCTGGGCGTCGATCTAATATTGAACGCACCGAACCATTATCTAATATTTATCAAAAGAAGTTTCTATTTTCTGTGTGATGGAGTGCAACGGACTACACACCACGCTTCTGGGTATACAGTTACAGTAGCGGAAATATACTCAATTCCTACTCTTGTGCAAGATACGCTAACCAACCGATGTGAAGCCACATCAAGGAGCGAAAACTTCAGTGGGGCCACTCTGTTTAAGAATTAGCTGAAGTCTAAATACAGGATTTGCAAAACAGAGTTGCGGCTGTGAGAGGGCATGAAGCAAACTGCTCGATAAAAACTGTGCCAACGAAAACTTCAACAAGGCTTCAAATGAGAGACCACTCCTGTGATGACGATTCCTTGTGATGACGACCACTCACGATGAAGGACTTAGGGGCATGAGCAGGTTGATATAACCAAACGTCTGAGACGTACGGGGGCCAGGTATGTTCAGCCCAACTGTCGGAAAATTCAGCATCCTGGATAAAACATTGCTAAATGGTTTGAAGCTAATCGATTTCTCCAGCGCCTGAGTAGTTGTCTGTAGTACTAGTTTCCAGCACAAGCAAATTCATCACGCCACTTGGCTCTCTCTGGATCAAAGAACTTACAACCACCAGATCGGTGAAGTTATGTTCAACGTTATTAACGAGCGCACGCACCGAGGACCCAACATCGACTCGAACCACAATTTTTGAACCAAATAACAGTCTCCAAAAACACAAGAGAAAGGTACGACATCGGAAAGCTGTAATCATAAAAGACAGCCAAATAATCTTCTGCTCCTGCTCTCTGAGAGCACTCATCAGCAACTCGGTATAAGGAAACTGGAAATACATACTGCTTCTAAGGAAACCATTGGATTTCGAAAAGTTCATTAGAAAAAATACAATATATACCATGAGGATAGCCGTGCCGTGTTAGAGCGGGATGTCATAGATATATCGGAAAATTAGGAGGGAAGCGAGGCGAATGTGCTGACAAAAAAAGGAAGAGGGCGAGATGTGTGGGTGTGAACAGCTTAAAAAGCTGAACGTCCGGGAAACAGTCTTAATATATTTACGTGGCGACGTACAGAAGGTTTAAAAGTCAGGCCAATTCTTGTAGGACCCAAAGGAGAGAGTTTATTGAGTTTATGGAGGGAGCACTTCTGCAGCCTGCTGAAGGGCTGTGAGAATGGGAAATGAAGGATGCTTTGAAATATATGCAAAAAAAGATGTATGTATGTATACCCACCGATTCGCGAACAAAGCTGGAATACTCGTCATTCTATAGACAGTACACGCGGGTATAAAAAAAAATAATAATATTTTATACAAAAATAAATTTTAAGCGATTTTCCATTAATAAATATTATTATAATTAAAGCAAACATACAATACTACATCTACATATGTATATACGCCATCATTCTATTTATGTCTAGCCATCAAACGTGATTATGACGCTCTTCTAAGTGATGATTGTGTGTGGAAAGCCACTGTTTGTGCTCATATATATTTGTATGCACGTATGTATGTATGTATATATGTACACGTATGTATGTGGGTAAAGAAGCTCGTCCACTGAGCATGCGCCAACACTTTATTAAATACCTTTTAGTTGTTTGTTTATTTTACTCATGCTTTTGTACATATGTATGTATGTATGCGTATGTATGTACACATATTTAACTACTACTTTGGCCAACTGAGAAGCTGTTGCTATTGCTTTTGATATTACTGCTGCAGCTGCTTTGAGTGTCACTATTTTTGAGCGTTCAAGCCAAGCTCATAGCACAGCGTTGTTTTGCGATCTCGTCGTTGCGATTGAGGTTGCCGGCAGCTTAGCCGATTGGCCGTTTGGCCGCTTGTAGCTTAGCCACTTACTGAAACTAACGAATATTTCACTTAAAGGGAAAGAGTCTTAGGCGTGCGAATTTGATGCGACGATGACGCCGATGACGCCGATGACGCCGACGACGCGACTGCGCACGAGAGTTGGGATTCCCTAGCGCAGCGTAGCGTAGCAGCATCCATGAAGCACTCAAATTTCATATAAATTGCGCTGAGTGAGAACAATTGGTCAGCATTTGGATTTCGGGCGTGCAACAGTTGTGTTCAAATTTCAAAGTGAATCGCGAGCAACGTCAAAGACGATTTTACTTATAAAATATATCTTTTTTAAATTGTTATATGCGAAAGGATCTCGCACAGAAGATATACATTTCTTTATATAAACAATATTTCTTTAGTCGGCTGCTAGCTAGACCGAAACTTAAGAATGGTGAGTTTAATAAAAGTCAACATAAGAAGACGACAAAAAACAATTAAAATAAAAAAAAATAAAAATAAACAAATGATATAAAATAATATAATTAAATAAAATATAATAAAGTGAAATAAAATAAATGAGCGAAAAGTAAAATTAAAATAATACCAATTGCAAAAATTAAATTAAAAATTAAGGTAAATTAAATAATTAAAAAAAATCAAATTATATTAAAAAAAATTATTTCTATAAAATATACAAAAATTGACTAAAAAAATATATGAAAAATATTAAATTCTAATAAAAGCAAAAATTTCACTAATAAATAAATGGAAAAAAGCAATCAAATTATAACATAAAATTTAATTAAATAAAATATGAAAAAAAAGTTTGAATAAAACTAAAAAAAATAATGAATTTAAAAAAGAATTTATGAAAAATATTAATATAAATTAAATAAATGATAAAATTAAAATAACAAATAAAAGAATGATAATATAAAAAAAGGAAAAATAAAATCAAATAAATTTAAATAAAGGAAAAATATTAAACTTAAATAATTTATATGAAAGAAATTAAAATAAAATAAATTAATTTATGAAAAAATTGAAAAGATTAATAATTTAAAATAATATGACATTAAAATTAAATTTAATTAAAATAGCTCAACTAAAAATTAAAAAAAAAAAACAATAATCATAAGTATTAGTAAAAAATAAAAGAAATCAACTAAACAAAATCAAATTTAAATAAAGAAATAAATAAAAAAAATTAATGAATTGAATGAAATTAAGATAAAAAATTATGAATATCCAAAGATAAAATAAATTAAATAATGAAAGATTTAAAAAATAAAAAAAATAAAGAAGAAATAAATAAAAAAACTCAATGAAATAAAAGCAAAAACATAAAAATATTTATTATTTAAGAATTAAATATTTAAAAAGCAAAGAAGAAATAAATAAAAAAAAATTAATGAAATAAAAGCAAAAATAAACATAAAAATATTTTGGAAAACTCAAAATAAAACAAATTAAATAATGAAAAATTAATAAGAAAATAAATAAGTGACATAATAAAAAATCAAATTTATATATAATATATTATTGTTTAATTAAATAATAATCTAAAATATATATATAATAATATAAATTATAAAATTAAAAAATAAATAGATAAAAAATAGTAAATTGAATTAAAAAAATTAGTGAAAATATTAAAATTATAAAAATTAAATAATAAAAAAATTAAAAAAATAAGTCAGCGAAAAAATAAAATAAATAAATTTAAATAAAATATAGCAAGAGACTAAAAAAGAATTTAATGAAAATATTTAAATTTGATTTAAATACATAAATGAATAAATGAAAAAATAAAAAATCAAATTAAAATAAATTAAATTTATTTAAAAAAAATTTATTTGAAAAACTTAAATCAAAATAAATAAATCAATAAAAAATTAAATTTATAAAAAATTAAAAAGAAAAAATAAATAAATTTGAAAAAATAAATAAAAAAGAATAAAAGAACAAATTAAAAACATCAACTTAAAATAAAATGAATTAAGAAAGTGTAAAAAGCAGTAAATAAAAAAAAAGAATTTAGTAAAAAATATAATATAAATGAGAAGATGAATAAAAAGATAAAATTATTATAAATTAAATCCATGAAAAAAATTTAAAAACTTAAAGAAAAATTTCATTTAATGATAAAAAATTATGTAAAAAAATTAAATGAAAAAATTAAATTTATATAAATAAACAAATTTGATTAAATCAAAATGTATAATTCAAAAATTTAAAATATAATTTAAATTATACTAAAACATATATAACAAAATAATAATATTTATAAATCCATAAAAAGAAATTAAATAAATGAAAAATATAAAAAGAATAACAAAATAAATAATAATAATGGATATCTTAGTTGTGCAATGGGGTAATTTGTAGCAGACAAACAAAACACACTTTTGCAACATTACATACTTAAGGCCGTAAGTATGTATGTACATACATACATACGCATATACTCTTACATACATATGCACATAGGTGTGTACTTATGAGCTACGCTATTAGCGCAAAATGTGATATATGGCCAAGTAAGTGATCTATGACGTTGTGTGCTTAGCAGTAAAATTTATGTCATAGCCAAAGACAAGATTTGCAAAAATGAAGAATGAAAAACCGAAAAATCAAGAAAAACAAAAACATCGAAAAGCCAAAAAATCGCAAAAAATGAAGATTTAACTTTGAGAGTGTTTTGTGTGTTTCTTAAAAAAAACCAAAAAAAAAAGAAAACAAAAAACAAAAACTAATAAAAGAATTTTTTCTTTAATTTGAACAACAACAAAAAAGAAAAAACAAATGGAAAATGAAAATGAAGTCTTTTGGGAAAAATCTCGTTTCTTTTTATACTTAGCGATGACACAAACACACCGCAGCAACCGTGATCATAGAATCTCAGACAGCTTTAGAGAAATTCGATTATTCGAGGCGCATAAAAATAGTAAAAATAAGAGTAAAAAAGAAAAACAAAAGGAAAAAAATTCAAAAAGGCAAAAAATAAATTACATCGATTGCTTTTTCGTGTTTTTTTGTTTCTGTTTTTTTTTGTGTTTTTTGTTTTTTTGTTGCTTTGTTTCTTAGACAACATTACTGCTTACATACATACAAACAGAGTTATTGCCGGGCTTATTTCGAAATCGTGACATACTGGTACTGCAATTGAAATGCATAGCCGCTCTATGCACAATCAGTTCCCAAGCTTATTGAGAATGCCATCACGAAATAGTGAAAAAGTACAAAGCCATAATTTTTAAGGGCGGCCTATGTATGATTCAACCATCGCATTAAGTCTTTTTTTTGCTTACACACCCAGTGTTGTATATGTAAGGCGGATAATAACAGTTATTTTTTTCGGTTTGTTTTTGTCTCGATTGTTTTTAACTGATTTCAGTAGCCAAAATGTTAGCCAAAGTGGAATAAATGAATTTGGGAATAGAGAGAACAGCGAGCTCTCCACGTCTCATCTCGCATTGTAAGCAATTATGACTTGCGTAACGGACAAATTAAGCGTCGTCGGCGTTTATGAGTCTGTCAAAATGCACTTGATCCACAATTTACACAATCATAAGTAGAAGTAGCACCCATTGAGCGCTTGTATTGCCCAAGCTCATCTTGTATACACATATACATATGCGTATTATTTGGACACTCTCAGCCTATTAACTTTCGCTGATTTGTTTTTGATTTGTATTTTTCCTTTTATTTACAGAAATTATATATCCCACTGCTGGCACTCGTTGCCATTGGTGTACACGCTGATGTCTCACATTTGAGCAGTGACTTGCAGGAAGATGGCTATCATTATAAGCAGCCTTCGGTGCCATTTCCAGCGCCACCTTCGGGTAATGAAATAGATGACACCGGCTATCAACCACAGCCTCGTCCGCAGCCGCAGCCTCAGCCATCGTATCCGGCACCGCGGCCACAACCGCAACCTCAACCACAACCATCGTATCCTGCACCTCGACCGCAGCCACAACCGCAACCTCAACCTCAACCTCAGCCACAACCATCATACCCCGTACCGGGGCCACAGCCTTCGTATCCTTCAACCCGCCCCCAACCACAGCCGCAGCCACAGCCACAACCTCAGCCTTCATACCCAGCACCGGGACCACAACCGCAACCACAACCTTCATATCCATCTACGCGCCCACAACCACAGCCACAGCCATCATATCCAGCGCCACGACCGCAACCACAGCCACAGCCACAGCCGCAGCCGCAGCCGCAGCCGCAGCCACAGCCACAACCATCATATCCAGCACCTAGGCCACAGCCACAGCCACAACCTCAGCCTTCATACCCCGCACCACGTCCACAGCCGCAGCCAAGACCACAACCATCTTATCCTTCACCTCAACCACAGCCACAGCCTAGTCAGCCAGGGTCACGTCCACAACCTAGCCGACCAGCACCTGGACCGAAACCCGGACCGGAATATCTCCCTCCAGATCAAGCGCAACAGCCTAGACCAAGACCTCAACCACCACAGTCACGTCCGCAACCATCATATCCAGCACCACGGCCTCAAGTTCCAGGCGGTCCAGGTGGCCCTAGCGGTCCCGGCGGTCCCGGCAGTCCATGTGGACCAGGTAGTCCAAGCGGGCCAGGAAGCCCATGCGGTCCTGGTGGCCCAAGTGGTCCAGGAGGCCCAACCGGTCCAGGTGGTTCAAGTGGTCCAAGTGGTCCAGGAGGCCCAAGCGGTCCTGGCGGATCTCGCCCATGCGGACCAGGTAGTCCAAGCGGGCCAGGAAGCCCATGCGGTCCCGGCAGCCCAAGCGGTCCAGGCGGACCAAGTGGCCCAGGAGGACCAAGTGGCCCAGGAGGACCAGGTGGTCCAACCGCCCCAGGAGGACCAGGACAATATGGCCCTGGGGGACCAAGTGGCCCAGGGGGACGCCCAGGTGGCCCAGGAGGTTCAAGCCGACCAGGTGGCCCAAGTGGACCGAGCGGACCAAGTGGACCAAGCGGACCAAAACCAGGCCCTGAATATATACCACCAGGAAGCCAAACTACCCGTCCGTCTTATCAACCACGGCCACAATCACCTTCCGTTGGCCCAACTTACCAACCACGTCCACAGCAGCCTACACCAGGACCCACATTCCAACCACGACCACAACCACAACCTCGACCACAGCCGCAACCATCGCAACCTGCTAAACCTGGTCCCGAATATCTACCACCACCTGGTGAAAATGAAGTAGGACCATCGCGACCAGCGCCTCGTCCGCAGCCGCGACCACAACCACGTCCACAGCCCACATATCCATCACCACAGCCCACTCAACCAACTCCACAACAAACTTACCCAGCACCGCAACCAACTCAACAAGTTCCTCAAACATCATATCCAGCACCGCAGCCAACACCGTCCTCGCCAGCGCCTCGGCCGAGCTATCCTGCGCAACGACCGACACAGCCTGCGCCGCGACCACAACCAACATACCCTCAGGGTCCAAGTGGCCCAGGATGTGCAGGCGGTCCCGGTGGTGCAGGAGGATTTGGTGGTGCTGGAGGTCCGGGCTGCGAAGGACCTAGTGGACCTAGCGGTCCAAGTGGACCAGGCGGACCGGATGGACAATATGGCCCAGGAGGACCAAGTGGCCCAGGGGGCCCAGAGGGCCCAAGCGGTCCCGGTGGTCCTAGTGGACCAGGTGGTCCAAGCGGCCCAGGAGGACCAGGTAGTCAATATGGTCCTGGAGGATCAAGTAGACCAGGAGGACGTCCAGGTGGACAAGGAGGTTCATACGGCCCAGGAGGACCAAGTGGTCCAAGTGGCCCAGGAGGGCCAGGTGGTCCAAGTGGCCCAGGGGGACCAGAAGGATCATACGGTCCAGGCGGACCAGGTGGTCCAAGTGGCCCAAGCGGACCAGGTGGACAGGGTGGTCCAGGCGGTCCAGGAGGTCCAGGTACTCCAACCGGACCCAGCGGCCCCGAGGCGGGATCTCTCGGACCAGATGGCTACAACTACAACAGACCATCTAGACCATTCTCTTATTAAATTAATTAATTTATTAAAAGAAACTCGCCCATTTAGTATTATGAATTTTTACGAAATTTTTTATGAAACAAAAACACAATAACAAAATCAAAAATTAGCGCTTGAGCAACATGTCTTCCACCATACGATGTAACAATAAACAAACGATCATTTCCTACGAAAGCGAATGCCAGTTGACACTTACATACAAATAAAAAACATAAATTATTGCTTGTATCTATTTAAAAAAAAAATAAATAAATAAAAATAAAGAAATTTTATTATTAAAAAATAAAAATGTAGCCATTTTCAATGTTAATTAGCAATGGGTTAGGCGAAAAACGATAAAAACAGCTATGTCAATTACAGTTTAGTAATCGTAGGCTTAAAGACACTCATTTATGTACACATCCATACACATCCATACACATCCATACACATACATACATACATATATACACATAGTAAATATATTTAGCTTTAGGCACAAATAACCTGTGTGGTCAAAGGGGGCGGCGGTCACTTATTTGCAAAGACGGAAATTTTTCTCTCTAACAGTTTTTATTATTTTTGTTGGCGCAATAAACTTGTTTATGATTTTGCCAAGGACGTTGCCATTCATAGTCCATTTTTGGTATCACACACACACTTGTATGCTTCTAGTTCATGAATTTGCAATGAATTCCGACGATAATGAAATATTTGACATTTAATCCTATCTTGGAATATGCTTCTGTTCTTTGGAAGTTATGGTATTCAGCCTTACTGGCGTGGACCCCGCTTACGTAATTATAGGCGAGTTAACAACAGCGCGCCATATATTCCTTCCAAAGTACGGCCAGGTCCAAGGAGTAGAGGTTCTCCTTTCTTCCACCACCAGCAACTTCCTCTCGGTGCGGTTGTTGAGGCCAATGATGTCAAGCTCATCGGCATACCCAGCAGTTATAGAAATTTGTATCTTCTACATTCAGCTTTGCATCCCTTACTATTTTCACCAATAATAAATATATAATAATAAATTTAAGAAGTCACAGATCAGGAAATTACCTTGCCAAAAACCTCTTTTGGTACCGAACAGATCGGAGAGGTCTTGCCCAAAACTGGTGGAGCTTTTGGCGTTGCTTCACCTCAGTTTATACAGTCGTATAAGAATTCTAATATAGCGATGGAGCAACAGCTCCTTTGTGAGCTGTCGAATGCTATTTCAAAGCCGACGAAAAGGTGGTGAGTGTCGATCCGCTTTTCGCGAGTTTTTCCTAAGGTTTGGCGCACGGTGAATATCTGTTTAATGGTGGATTTATTAGATCTAAAACACACACTGATAATCTACAATCAGCTTGCAGATGGTGGGCTTTAGTCTTTCACACAATACGCCCGATAGGACCTTATATGCTTATCCGACGCCCAGAAATATATACATATATATATAATATATATGATTGATGGTTTGTAACCGTTGTTGTTTTTCCAGCAAATGGAGATATCTACGGTGTGTACTAAGCCGCCCCTGAACGGCTGATGGGTTTTTTTGAGGGAGCCTTTATGTATTTCAAGTCAGAAATACACTCGGACGCCTTGACATTCCCTGCAAACAGAAAGACTAATTTTCTGTACTTTTGGATATTGGTCGAGCCAAAATTCGAACTTAGGCCCTTCCAATAGTAGTATGCACTACAACCATACTTATCGGAAACATTAAATTACTAGGGAAGCGGTATGTGGCATGACCTATATGTTATTTTACCAAGTTTCTGTACTTTGGTTCGAGTGAATCCAAGCATGAGATTGATTTTGGTTCATTGATCATTATGTACTAAACTGAACTTCGTTTTTGAATATCTAGTAATCAGGTTTGAACTAGCTTTCCTTAAGCCCCTTCTTATAAAGGTTATGTAAAATGATTATAAGAGCAGCCAAGTGGCATAAGAGGCACAACCAAGTCCCCAAGATTAAGGAAAGTATTAGCAAAAGCAACCACGATTCAAAGGCTTATTCTTAGTCGGTAAAGTGGTAAAGATACTTGGTGTCCACTTTCCATCGTCCAGGTCAGAGCGAGATGTTGTGGTGGCGAGAAGCGCTAGTGCGGAGCAGACGGAAAGCGAAGGCGGTATAGCGGCTCCAGATCAGGTTACACGCACAATACAGAGGTTCCTGGCTTATAAGTCATCAGGCTTAAAACGCCGCTGGGACAGACATCGGCGTCGCTAGGCATTGGTGCTTTCATATAAGAAAGGTTGTATGTTTGTAAACGTGTAAATTTACATAATTTACTTAGTACGATTTTGCAACCCAACATCAAGCCACTCATGTATGGATGTATGTGGGAACACCACCATAACGGTACAAATAACTATTGTACAATGATCCATTATGCATAAGGAAATGCATTATGAAGACATTACGAAGATCTTATATGCACATAATATTTATGTACTCTTTAAGGTACCCGTATGTAAGCGTGTATGCATGCATGCATAAATTCTCCATGGTCATAAATATTTCTAGACAATTACATACCAACATACATAAATGAGTATTTGCAATCAGAAGTTAATGCAAAAGATTTAATAGCAATTTAGCGAAAGAGTGATTGCTTCATTCATAAAGCTGGATTACTGGTTCCCACTCTCCCCCCATGATGCAGCATATTCATACTGGTTTATGTAAATAGTATACAAGACTTTTAATAAATAGCATTTAAACAATTTAATTGCACTCGTTAATAGATGCGTTTGATTAACTATTCAGTGATTGTCCAACCCGAACACGAAAGTTAAATATTTTGCTAATAATTATTATTATATTATTTTAGACGTATTTTCCCTGCCATTCTAATGTGAAAATAAAAAAATTGCTTGAGTTAACGAGTCAGAGTATTATTTTATGCTAAAAATAAATAATTTAATTATATAATTATATTTTAACATTGTAATATAACAATTAATAATAATAAAACAAATAAAAAAATGAATTTAAGGCAATAAATGAAATATTTTAAAATAACAAAACAAAATAAAATAAAAAACATTTTAAAATAACCAAATAAAATGAAATGAAATAACTTAAAATAAAATAAAATAAAATAAAATAAAATAAAATAAAATAAAATAAAATAAAATAAAATAAAATAAAATAAAATAAAATAAAATAAAATAAAATAAAATTATACAATAATGAAATAAAATTATTTAAATGTAAATTAAAATAAATTAAAAGGAACAAAGAAAAAATAATTTAAAATAAAGTGAAACAAAATAAAAAAGAAAATAATTTAAAGTAAATTACAAAAAAAACTAGAGAAGTAAATAAAATGACTAAATAAAATAACATGCAATAAAATAAAATAAAATGACATCAAAATAAAACAAAATAAATGAGAATAAGATAAAAGTAAAAGATATCGCTATATCAAATAAAGCAACACAAAATAAAAAAATAACGATAAATAAAATAAAGTAAATTGAAATAAAATTAAAATAAAGTAAAACACAACAAAGAAATAAAAAATAAATAATAATAAAAAAAAATTATATAAATAAAATAAAAAATTAATAAGAATGATTTAGGTAAAGTAAAAAGTTCGTTTTTTTTTTTTGATTTTTCAAAATAAGATAATATTGTGTACATTTGTCCGATTTAAGTCAACTATGCGACGTTTTGTTCATAAACTTGTTGCCAATGAGATACTAAATTCATTTTTATCCTCTCGTAGAAGGCTGCGTCCCCATTGGCAAAAAACTCGGAGAGCCAATTTTCACAGGCCTCTCTTGTGACCAACTTCTCACCGTTCACAACAGCGCGTTCGCCATGGACAGAAAAACATGGTGTCAGGTCCAAACTATAGAATGGATACATTAGGACCTCCCATTCGAGCTCCTGGAGCTTCTGGCGCGTCATCAAAGACGTGTGTGGCCTGTTGTTGTCCTGATGGAGCACAATTCGGCCTCTGTTGATCAAAGATGAGTGTTGCCTTCAAACGGTCCAGTTGTCGGCAGTAGAATTGAGCGTTTGGCCATAGGTGAGCAGCCCGTAGTAGATGATTCCTTGCCGATCCCACCAAACACACATCAAAACCTTCCTGGCCGTCAATTAGATCTTGGCCACCATTTGGGCCTCTTCCCTTTGCTTTGACCACGACAGTTTGCACTCAATGTTGTCAAAAGTGACCCGAGCTTCTTTTTGAATCCAAGGTTATACAAATGGTTCCAAACGGTTTTCTGGCTTATCTTTAGTTCCTCAGAAATTAAATAAGTGCTCTCGTAACGGTCTGTTTCCACTATTTCCACGATTTTATTGCAATTTTCGACGACAGTACTCCCGACGCGTGTCGCATCTATGACATCGAAATTACCGGAACGGAACCTAACAAATAACTTTTGTGCTACACGTTCGTTTAAAGTATCGGGCCCATAAACTAAATTAATAATGATCGAAGAAAAATTGTAAATTTAGCGCATTTTCTCTTTGCTGGTGTCCATCTTTGACGAGCGCTCACAACGTACTGAGTCAATCAATCGAGAAAATAAACACGTTTTCAGCGCTGTATGGTAACATGATGCGGCACGTAGCACTAGTACTATGGACAATAACGCCATCTCTTAGATAAAAACCGATCGAACTTTGTACTACACTAATATAAGACGCAGTGAAGTACCTTTCTAACTTTCGTTACATTTTTAGTCTAATTGCTATTGCAAAGAACGATAAAAAAACACTAGTTAAGCACCATCTAGGTCAAAATATTTAACCCTTTTATTACATTCTTGATCTAACTACTTATTTGTAGTCTTTTAGAAAATGCCAATTGGGATGCCTATTCACACTAAATGACTCCTTTCGATGACCCCTTTTCCGTAAAGAAAAAATTATGTAAAAATTAAGAAAGCCCCTGGTCCACTTCCGTAATAGAAAAGTATTCCATTTAGGTCTACCTTCAAAAAATTTAAGTAAACCGAGCTATGAGTTAGTATACTTTTTCAAACAAACCGTAAAAAAATAACTATAAATGCGATTTTTTCGCTAAGAAAACTAGTCTTTCTTAGTCGTATAGGTCAGAGTCTAAAGTATTTCCCGAAACTTTTATTTTCGCACAGGTCTTCCCAGAAGCCACTGAAACAATCCGATCAAATCTGTCGATATCTCTTAGTATTTACTGGATCTTTATAAACCAACATTAGATTTTAATTTATATAGATAAAATACAATATATATA